ATTGTACAAAACACAAACATTCATGAGTAGTAACCTGGTAATAAGTCATTGTACAAAACACAAACATTCATGAGTAGTAACCTGGTAATAAGTCATTGTACAAAACACAAACATTCATGAGCAGTAAACTGGTAATAAGTCATTGTACAAAACACAAACATTCCGAGTAGTAACCTGGTAATCAGTCAGTGTACAAAACACAAACATTCCTGGTAGTAATCTGGTAATCAGTCAGTGTACAAAACACAAACATTCCTAGTAGTAATCTGGTAATCAGTCAGTGTACAAAACACAAACATTCTTAGTAGTAATCTGGTAATCAGTCAGTGTACAAAACACAAACATTCTTAGTAGTAATCTGGTAATCAGTCAGTGTACAAAACACAACCATTCATGAGTAGTAATCTGGTAATCAGTCAGTGTACAAATCACAACCGTTCATGAGTAGTAAACTGGTAATAAGTCATTGTACAAATCACAACCGTTCATGAGTAGTAAACTGGTAATAAGTCATTGTACAAAACACAAACATTCCTAGTAGTAAACTGGTAATAAGTCATTGTACAAAACACAAACATTCCTAGTAGTAAACTGGTAATAAGTCATTGTACAAAACACAAACATTCCTAGTAGTAATCTGGTAATAAATTACTACTAGGAATGTTTGTGTTTTGTACACTGACTGATTACCAGATTACTACTAGGAATGTTTGTGTTTTGTACACTGACTAGGAATGTCTGTGTTTTGTACACTGACTGATTACCAGATTACTACTAGGAATGTTTGTGTTTTGTACACTGACTGATTACCAGACCTGGTAATCAGTCAGTGTACAAAACACAACCGTTCATGAGTTGTAAACTGGTAATATTTATGTATGAAATGCAGTTGTTATGCAGTTATACATAGCTTCTGTTATGAAACAAAAATGAATTAATCTATTTCACGGTTTTAAATAAATTGTTTGTTTTTAGAATATCTAGATTATTTTATCTATTGTCTGATAATTATGAAAGAACCTGTGCTTAGAAAGTATGATAAGCCTATGTCAGTATGTTTGTTTTTAATTACTGTGTTAGATATGTATTGGTTCGCTCATGCTGCTGACCCTCCTCAAGATAAACCTCGACGTGGCCTATGGTCCCAGTCACCTGATCAGCAAGACCCAGAGAATGAAAGCTTGTCTCACACTGTTCCACAGCAAGGTGTACAAAGTCCCACTAAACAACATGATATCAAAAGCCCTAGTGAACCTCAGACACCTGGTACTTTAGCAGGTAAAGTAGTCAACTTTCTTGTCATTAATTAACATGGTGTTATACACAGAGTTAAAATAGACTTCTGGAAATTTAGCAAGTATTTGAATCTACCTTATGATTAAACAACATGGTGTTAAACACCTTAGTGAACATAAAGACAGCTGGGGACGTAGCAAGTATAGTAGCCTCCTTTCTTGTCATTAATTAACATGGTGTTATACACTCAAGTTAACATAAAGACACCTGGAAACTTAGCAGATATAGTAGCATACTTTCTGTCAGTAATTAACATGGTGTTATACACTGAAGTTAACATAAAAACACCTAGAAACTTAGCAGGTATAATAGCCTCCTTTTCTTGTCATTAATTAATTCAATGTTGTACACCCAAGTTAACATAAAGACACCTGGAAACTTAGCAGGTATAGTAGCATACTTTCTTGTCATTAAACAACATGGTGTTATACACCCAAGTTAACATAAAGACACCTGGAAACTTAGCAGGTATAGTAGCATACTTTCTTGTCATTAAACAACATGGTATTATACACCCAAGTTGACATAGACATCTGGAAGCTTAACAGGTATAGTAGCATACTTTCTTGTCATTAAACAACATGGTATTATACACCCAAGTTAACATAGACACCTGGAAATTTAGCAGGTATAGTAGCATACTTTCTTGTCATTAAACAACATGGTATTATACACCCAAGTTAACATAGACACCTGGAAACTTAGCAGGTATAGTAGCATACTTTCTTGTCATTAAACAACATGGTGTTAAAAATCATAATTGATATTAAAATACCTGGAAACCAAGCAGTTATTGTTTAAAAAGACTTTGGATTGCTGTAAATACCATTTGATCTTTCAGAAACATAAGTTTGGCTTAAGCTGTATTTTAAATTGATGAATTGTATAAACATCATGGAGATTTTTTAAGTATCTGATAAGCTAAAGATTGTTTATCTTGCCTGTAACTTGTGCTAGAGATTCTGTTTTGTGTTGTAAAACTTTTATTTTTGTTGGAATGAAATTGTTGACAGTGGAGCTTATTATTGATTTATACGTTAGATATATACTGGTTTGCTCAAGGCGGTGAAGCACTGACACCTTCAGCAGACCTAGCCAGTGACTCTGGGTTTTCAGGTAGGAGTTGTAATAACTGGCTGATCTATCTAACACCCTGGATACTCCTCAGTAATATCTGCAGTGTTGTGGAGTTGAAAGCATGACTTGCTGCATGGTGACAGGACATGACAGTTTAATAAATCTTGGAAGGAGTGCTCAAGCTTAGGATAATAAATTGTTTAAAGTTTTTGCCATAGTAAATGAGATTCTGCTGTTATGTGAGAAATCTTTAATGTGCTTGCAGTAATTTCTAGTTGAAAATGCATAGTGTATGCAGCTTAATATTGACTTGCATGAAGAACTACAGTAACTTTGGCATTTGAAGGTTTTATCTGTTAGTTTTTTTACTCAAACTTTAGGTTGCAACTTTGTTTTTTTTGGCCAAGATGTGATATGCTATCTTGATTCAACTGTCTGAGAATTTATTTGTTATAAGAAAATTGTTGGAACATATCCATAATTTGATAAAGTATCTCATTATGTGTATTTAATGATTAATTATTGTTTTCAGCTGTTTTTAAGATATTTTAATGTTTTGCATTGATACTATAAATAAAGATAAACAGTACTTTCAGAAGAAAAGAGTAAGGAGTCAAGACAGTAAAGAGTTTGATACCACTTTGAATAAAAAAAGAGGTGTAAGGAGTATAGACAGTAAGGAGATTGACAATGTTTTTAAAGAAAAAGAGGTGTAAGGAGTGTGAACAGTAAAAAGATTGACAACACTTTCAAAGAAAAAGAGGTGTAAGGAGTGTGAACAGTAAAGAGATTGACAACACTTTCAAAGAAAAAGAGGTGTAAGGAGTGTGAACAGTAAAGAGATTGACAACACTTTCAAAGAAAAAGGTGTAAGGAGTGTGAACAGTAAAATAATTGATAACACTTTCAAAGAAAAAGAGGTGTAAGGAGTGTGAACAGTAAAAAGATTGACAACACTCAAAGAAAAAGAGGTGTAAGGAGTGTGATCAGTAAAGAGATTGATAATGCTTAAAAAGAAACATGGTATCAGGAGTCAGGAGAGTAATGATATGAATAATGCTTTTAAGTGGGGTCAGGGCAATAAAAAGATGGACAATGCTTTCTGGAGAAGACAGGCATGTCATTAGCATTTAAATCTAAGGAAATATGAAATTAATGATGAATTAAAGTTCAATTAAAAATGTTAATCGATATTATTTAGCAATATTTTACCATAACTTGTTTCATATAAATAATACAGTTTGATCTGGAGGGTGAAATTGGGTAAGGTATTGATCAAAAAAAAGTACACAAAGCAAAGCAGGAAATGTAGGTGAAGAAAATGGCCAGAATGTTTACAAAATTGGGATGTTTAAGGCACAGACTTACATTCAAGAAAGCAAGATAAGTCAGGATGTTAATAAAGTAGTAAAGCATTATAATAACAGGAAACTGTGTTCAGAATTGAAAGGTGTATGGTCAAGATGTGAAGTGTTTATGAAGTAGTAAAGCATTATAATAATAGAAAACAGTGTTCAGAATGAAGGGTATGTGGTCAAGATGTGAAGTGTTCATGAAGTAGTAACATTGTAATCATGGGAAAGAAGTGTCCAGAATGAAGGGTATGTGGTCAAAACCAGTGTTTTAGAAATATGTTACAAATGTCAAATTATGAGCTCCAATATGAAGGTCTGGTTTTTAACACACTCATGACCATTGTCACCTTTGAGGTGTTCATTACACATCAGATTTTAAAATAATAATTCTAACTGTATTTGAACAGCTTCTTTTATTCAGAAATATTTTACAACTGATATTTAACATTTTGTAATATCTATTTAATAAAATTTGAAAGTATGTAAAAATGTTAAATCTTACATTTTTTCACAGCTCCGAGGAGCTTTATCTTTAAATATGGTACTTAATAGGTTTTATACAATTTTTCTGCTCATAACAAAGTTTTATTTGCTAAAAAAAACAACCATTTTATGAGAATTCAATAAGGCAAGTCTTGTTTCTCTTGTGATTTTTCGTCTATATGATTACAGACCTGTTCACATCAGAACTTCTAACAGATAACAGCTTTAAAAGTTCCACTTGATAGAGCAGATTATGAACTATTTACATCAATGTAAATTTAATAGTGATGTGTGAATGGTTTTGTGACAAGATGTAACTCCTTCAGAGGAGAGCGCAGACAGCCCTCGTGTAGCTTTGCGCGAAATTCAAAACAAACAAACAAACTTTCAGAGGAGATAAACAATGGAACTTGTGAAGTTTAGAAGACCACAGATCTGTGAATATGTTTATAGTTTCTCTAGATGTACTAGTTGTTCCTGAAAATTGTTTCTTGTTAAATTGTTTTTGTTTTTTTTAAGATTTGGCAGTTTCTTCTATAACCATGACAAGACATCAGGTACAATAGCAAGGATAAGATATTCTGGTTATTCAAATCCTTATTTATTGAACACTGTTGTTAAGTTTACCATACTCAAACAATGCAGATAAATAAAAGGACTTGTAAATTGTTGAAACAAAATATATTTATTAAATATAAGTCAATTTTAAACAAGAATGTTGTTAGCAGAAATATTGTTACCTAATTTGTCATGACACAATTTTGAAAGGTCAGGTCTTAGGTCACTGATAAACCATTGTTAGTTTATGTAATGCTTTTTCTGACTTAGTAGAAAATGGTGACTAATGCCATTAATTTGCTAATGAACATCAGTCAAGTTGAAATTCACTGGATGTATAAAATGGAACTTTCTTGTCAACAATAAAAATAATTCTTAGATGAAAGGAATTATTTGTAGTGTTTTTCCAAAAAATTTCCACAGTTTAGACATTTCATGACATACAAAGTGATATTAACACTAAGTCAAACTGTGTGAATTTTTCAAAGCTGAAACTAAAAGCTGTTTAGTAAGTTTATGCCAAATTTGATGCAATTTGTTAAAGTATTTCCATCGTGGATATTAGTGACACCCCTTTTGTTCAGAAAGAGTTAACAAAAAGAAAGTATTGTGTTGAGATGTGTGGAGTGTAACCAATAAGTTGTAGAAAGTGTTCAAAATGAAGAAAAGAGAGTAGAATAAAGTGTTGAGGTTTAGTTTTGTTTCATATCTACATGATCTTTCTCTGGGTAAGAGTTCTGCTTTATCTTACTGGTTATTTATATCTTAAGTAGTTGTGAGAGAGGTTTTTGTACAGTTTTGTAGTTATGTTTTCTTTTTATGTAGCTTTCTTTTGTAACAAGTTAGAGCATGAACTACTTCAGCAATCTCATTCACCAATTAATAATGGAATACTTTCAGATGGAAAAGAAGCCTCATCTCCATTAACACTAAAAGAAAGGGAAGAAAAGGCAAGATATATTCGTGAGAAACAGGCAGAAGAACGACTTCGTCGTTTTAATGAGATAAAGCAGCAACAGATGAATGCTCAGCATCTCAGAGAACAGCAGGAAGAAGAAAGAAGGCGAAAAATAGAGGAATTCCGTCAGCGAGACCAAGAACGACGTAATGCTGTTGAAGAGAGAAAAAGACAAATCTGGGAAGCAGAACAAGTATGCTTGTTATTTCTAGTTGAAAATCTAATAATCAGATTTTTGCAACCTGTAAATTAAAACCTGTATATCATTATAACTCAGTTTTCTTGATAGAACATAATGAAGTGTGTGTTTATAAAGTTTATGGTGTAATTATTATGCACCTTTTTTCAGTTTGTATAAACAAAACTCAGTTTTCTGATAGTTTAATGTTTCCACAAGGTAAGCATTTTCATCTTGTGTATTTTTATTGTATTTATTTGCATGTGTTTAAAAAGAGATACATCCTCAAAGAGTTACAATTAACTCTCTCAACATGGGCTCGGTCAATGATCACATTACCTTTGTACTCATTCAAAGTCTTTATAGATTTGATATACTAACTTTTAATATAGTGTCTTATTTTCACAAAATTTGGCAGTCCTTCAGTAAACATTATAAGTCTTTCACATACAAAAAATCATATTTTAGTGAAGTATTTTTAATAAATTAAAAAAAATCTGTCCTTGAATACATTGAGTATTTGTTTTGAATAGTCTGTGTGCAAAATGATTTTCATGTTAAGATTAAAAATACTTTTCTTTATCTCAAAAATCTCAAATTTCATTTGTGTAATCTCTTAAACCTCTAAATACACTTCAAATGTTTGTTTTCAGTAAAACTTTATATTATGTTATTTTCTCTACCCTAATTTTATATGTAGTTTGTCAATTTGACCGACATAGTAAACACCAAAAAGGCATTGAAATAAATCTTAATTACCCTTTTTTCTTTCTAGAGTGACTTCAAATGTAACATGAAACTACATTCATTTATTCTAAGTAGCTTTTAAAACATAACAGTATACATCTATTTATAATTAAATTTGTATTTTTTATTGCCTGTTGATCTGTATCTAATTACTATTCGTGATATTATAAGTTGTAACTCACTTAGGGAATGTACAGCTCACATTATGCTATCGAATTACCTTACTTATGAGCTACTCCAAGCTGTTTGCATGTGTGCCTCTTGAAATATTTTTGTTATATTATTATTATTATTTATTTTACCTAATCTAACCTTAACTAACCTAAAG